GCTGTTATATATGTATGTATATGTAATAGCTGTTTTATATGTATGTATATGTAATAGCTGTTATATATGTATGTATATGAAGGCTGAAGATATATGGCTGCTTGTTGTTTCACTCACTGGTCCTTGATGGTAGTTGAAGCCTTTTGCCAGGTTGTAGTTGTCATTGTCCAGAGCGTTGTCATAGACACCGCAGTACACCATGTCACTGGAAGGACAAAACAAATGCAATATCAGTATGAGCCTGAATATAAAACAAACAGCTCACACATTGTCATCATTACACTAAACCTGTCATGAAACAATAAGACACAATCACATTTACAACAATGGGGGAATACGATAGATCCACCACATGTGTTTAAAGCAATCCTTTGTGTGTGTGTGTGTGCATGCGCGCGTGCGCATGTGCATGTGTGTGTGAAGATCAGTATTACTCAGGGTCAAGTGTCTTCATTCCCAGTGGTCCCAGTAGTTTCTTCTCAGCCACCTCCAGAGCCTCCCAGGCTCTCTCCACTGTAAACAGCTCTGGAGCCTTAAACACACATACAGATCTATTAGCCCATACAGCCACAGATTACTGACACATCTGGGGGCAGGTTTCACTCTGCTTACCACCACCATGGCAATAGCGAAGTTGGGTCTCAGCTGGTAGTCACACCAAGGGCTGGAGGCTCCGTAGCTGTCCTTATAGATGCCTTTTTTATGCACCAGATCCGGGTGCTTCTCATTGGGGTCATTTGGGGCCCCAGACACCCAGAAACCAGCTTCAAAGGACTGCTGGAGCTGCTGGTTCCACTGGGAGTAGGAGATAAACACTTCCTGACCTGGAACACAGTGAAGAGTGTTTATTAGAGATGGCCGCTGTGTTTCAGAGTGAAAGTGCAGGACACATTTATTTATCTGAAAATACAGGTGTGTGTGTGTAATACCATCTCTGTGTACTTTAGCTCCATCATAAGGGAACAGTCCTTTGGCGTGGAGCTCCACCACCCAGCGCACAGCTGACTTACTGAGACCAACTATCTCCACTGCTGCTCCATCTCTGGACAGAAAAGGAAACAGAAAACAAATCAGACAGATTTAACTATTCTCTTCATTATTGATTCATCTCTAATTAATATCTAAATATGTTTTCAATTATGGGATTCATTATTTGATCTATCTAAGACATCAGAAAATAGTGTTTTAAATGTAGTTTTCTTCAACCAACAGTCAAAAATGTGTGTGTGTGTGTGTGTGTATATGTATATGTTACCTTGGAGTAGCAGGCATGCCTTTGTTCCTCGCTCTCTCGCTCTCTCCCATTTTGTCCATCCACGTGCCACAGTTAAAGCGGTTTCCTCCCATCACAAAACCTGTGGCTGGATTCACCTTAGCAACCACGTTGAACCCTGGGACGGAGAGGAAGAGCTCAGAGATACAGTGGGTGGTACTGAGGAACACACACATCCCCTTACATTATCCTGACCCTACATTACACACACACTCCCTATTATACCTTCATCTCTCATGTTCATGTCTATCTTGGAACCAGCATTTCTCTCTCTGAAGGAAATTCCCTCCAGGTGGCGCTGCAGAGCCTCCTGGATCACATCATACAGAGGCACCTCCTACACACACACACACACACACACACACACACACACATTAGCATGATGATGGTTGAGTGTTGGTTTAATTAAAATCAAGAAAGGCATTGTGGCAGACAGCAGAGCATGATGCTAACCTGTACCTGTGAGAGTGTGTGTGTGTGTTTGTGTGTGTGTACATACCACCTCTCCAGGTTTGCAGGGTTCACAGTCATCAGTAGGGTACATGCGTGTGACAGGGAAGCGAAGGATTTCATGCCCTTTAGGAACGTGGGTAGCGTAGTCCTGAACAAATATAAGTAAATAAAATTCATCATCACACACCACCGTGTTTCCATTTATTTAGGTTAATACATCTAGATACAACTTTTCTAAATATAGTTAGAAATAACTAACTGAAAACAGATCAACTCCAATGGTAAAAAAAAACGATTTATTAAATTGAGATAATCCCTTCTTTCCTTCCAACCCTGACAGTTGAACTAGTCAGAGCAGCAACATAATCTTGTTTTATATCTGATCAGCACTGCCTAGTTTGACAGTTTGATATGAGTTTGGTGCGTTGAACTGGACGGACTCACTGAGAATGAGCTGTCAATCACAAGGTAGCCACGCCCCAAAGCATACCCTGCTTTATCGTCTATTTGACTCTAAATGGGACCATCATTTACTAAATGAACATCAGGCTGTTTGTAAGAAGACTGAAGACTGAAGCTAGAGACTGAGACCATAAACTCATTAAGAGCTTATAAAGACAGTCAGAAGTCAGCTCATTTCTCCATAAGACTCAATACTATTGGATTTCTTTTTTTGCTGGCGCTGTCCCGTGCTGGCCGTTGAAAGAATGGTCTGTTCATTATATATACTGTCTATGGTACCTCCTGTATTACAGTGTCCTCCTACCTGGATGCACTGCAGCCACCACCACACAGCATCACGACAGTTGTACCTAGCACAGCGACCCTCGCCCAGCAGGTTGGGGATCAAACCGTGACGCAGCGTCCCAGCGAAGGCCAGAATGATGTTACTATGCAGACCATGAGATATTCATATTAGGCTTTAGTTACAGTGAGCTTTTGCAGGCTAATACTGTTATAAATCAGCTGGCAAATTAAATTTGGAGCAGCCACACACACACACAC